GCTTTACTCTGTTTATCAGGGTGAGGGGAAGTGATTTGTTTATGTCTAAGGGCCATCCTGGAGGGCTTTGTTAGGCATGCCTGGTGAAACTGTTACAGCTGTTTACAGGTGACAAGTCCTTGCTTTCCCAAAGTTGAGGTATAACACCAGAGAAGCTCACCGAGGCAAGTTTAGAGTGGAAAGTAGAAGCTTTATTAAGGACAGCAGAAAAGACTTCTCCCAGGAGGAAAAAGGGGACCCAAGAGGTGGAATCCATGGAAGGGCTTTCCCTTTTATAGCTAAGGTCTTCTTTCAGCTTTCCTGCATTCCTGTTGCAGTCCTGTCCTTTGTTCTGTGATCTTTCAGTGTGGAATGAGGTGGGAAGGCCCAAAAGGTGGGGGACAGGTGGGCCAAAGGAGTAATTTGGGCAGGAAGGACTTTTGGATTAGCATGTCTATGTTCACTGCTAGCTGCTTCATTAACATTTCCTTAGGATGGGCTCTGGGCCTTGGGAACATTAACATTTCAATTTCCCAAGTGCTGCTCTGCTTTCCTGGGCTCCATTCTCAACATGGCCTTCATTTTCAATTTTACTCAATATCAGACCTGATTTACCTAACTACACTAACTACCTATCTTTAAATCTGGCTTCAAGACTGTGAGAAACTGATGTGACTCCATTTTTGAGAAACCAGCTTCTACCTCAGGGCCTGTCCAGAGGGAGGGGGTGTGAACCATGTCCTTGGATAAACCCACAGAGTGTTCCTATGCACATAGCCACCCTGCTGAGTTGTTTATATGTAAAATAACAGGACACACCTGTAGTGCCAGGTGTCCCTGACTCAGTTATGCTAGTTCCTGGAAAGACCAAAGAATATTTGGGGGCCTAATGCCTGACCCTGAAAATCCATAGCAACCCCTGAGCAACCACCGATCAGTGTGAGACAGGGAAAATACCTGAAATGCCAGGTGATCCTCCCAGCAGTTTGGATGATTTATAACATATTAGGAAAACATGTAGTTTAGCAAGTACATCCCTCATGGCTTAAATCTATCAGTTCAAATGTATCCACCTCTTGAACTCACCAATCACCTTTACCCAACTTGTTCCCAAGTGAATGTGCTAATCAATGTTAAGCATTGTTGTTTGATTTTTCCCGTGGTATGGAATGATTTTCTGTGTGATGTTCTGACACATAAAGTATCTCCCAAAAAACTATAAAATCTCACTGAATAAAGGACAAGGACTCACTCCTCAGGACCACTGCATCAAAAACCATTGTGAGTCCAGGCTCTAGATTGCAATAAAGACTCTTGTGTGATTGCATCAGATTCAGCTCCTGGAGGTCTATTGGGGTCCCATGAATCTGGCATTACATCTTCACCATGAGGACTCACATTCTTTATGTAAAATGGCTATCAGTTACTGAGAATTTTTTGGTTTTATAGGGTACAATTAAGGGGGCTTCATCATTGGAACTTCTGGATATGCTAGTCCGATTGTCAGAGGCCAGTTATGTAGGTTAAAAATTTTAACTCAGGAGGGCAGCCATAAAAAAGTTGAAATTTATTGTTACTTGGAGAGATAGTGTTACCGCTGTTGTCCTTGCTTCCCCGATGTTGAAGAATAACACCAAAGGAGCACACCGAGGCAAGGTCAGAGTAGAAATTAGAAGTTTATTAAAGGACAGCAGAAAAGACTTCTCCTGGAGGAAGAAGGGGACCCAAGAGGTGGAATCTGTGGAAGTGCGGTTGTTTCCCCTTTTTATAGTTTTGGTGATGGAATGTAGGTTGGAAGGCCCGAGGGGTGG